ACATCCAAAACAAAAAAGCAATACCCTATACCACAAAATATGATTTCTTCAAAATTGTTGCCGCTTCTTTTTTCTTTTTTTCTCTTCTCATCTTCTTGGGTAACAACAACTTCAGCTCAACCCATGAAACCTCAAGTGATCGTCACCCCATTGAACCTTTCCCATATTCAAGCTACCATTACGTGTTCTAAAAAACATGACATGCAAATTAGAATCAGAAGCGGTGGCCATGGTTATGAAGGTCTTTCCTACGTTTCTCCAATCCCATTTGTCATTCTTGATCCAATTAACCTTCAATCAATCACCATTGATGCAACCAACAAAACTGCATGGGTTCAAGTTGGTGCAACAATAGGCAAACTTTATTATAGTATTGCAGAGCAAAGTCAAAATCTTGCTTTTCCGGCCGGTGTTTGCCCTACTGTAGGGATTGGCGGCCACTTTAGTGGAGGAGGATATGGCTTGTTACTAAGAAAATATGGGCTCGCCGCAGATAATATTATTGATGCTCAACTTGTTGATGTTAATGGAAGGATTCTTGATAGAGCTTCAATGGGTGAAGATCTTTTTTGGGCTATTCGCGGTGGCGGTGGAAATACTTTCGGAGTGGTTGTTGCTTGGAAAATAAACTTAGTTGAAGTTCCTTCTACTGTCACTGTATTTACAGTAGAAAAAACGCTAGAACAAAACGCGACTGAGATTGTTCATCAATGGCAATATGTTGCTGATAAGTTCAGTGAAGATTTATTCATTAGGGTTATCATCGAAAGAGTTAATTCCAGCGGAAATACCACAACGATAAGAGCCGCATTTAATTCTTTGTTTCTTGGCTGAGTTGACAGGCTACTTCCATTAATGCAAGAAAGTTTTCCTGAACTAGGGCTAGTTAAAGAAGACTATATTGAAATGAGTTGGATCGAATCTGTTCTCTATTTCGCCGGATTTTCAAACTCACCATTAGAGATTTTGCTTGACAGGACTCAACCGAACGTAAGATATTTCAAAGCTAAATCTGATTATGTTCAACAACCAATGCCTGAAGTTGCTTTAAAAGGAATATGGGAAAGGCTTTTTGAAGTGGAAGTGGGTTCAGGCCAATTGATTTTCAGTCCTTATGGAGGTAGAATGAGTGAAATATCAGAATCTAGCATTCCATTTCCACACAGAGCAGGAAATTTATATGAAATTCAACATTTAGTGTATTGGGATGATGAAGGAATTGAAGAATCAAAAAAGCATATAAGTTGGATAAGAAGGCTTTATAGTTTCTTGGCTCCATATGTTTCTAAAAATCCAAGATCAGGTAGACATGAGTGAAATAATCAGAAAATATAGCATTCCATTTTCCACACAGAGCAGGAACATTCTAATATCGAAAATTTCAACCATTTAGTGTATTGGGAATGAATGGGATGATGAAGGAATTGAAGAATCAAAAAAGCATATAAGTTGGATAAGAAGGCTTTATAGTTTCTTGGCTCCATATGTTTCTAAAAATCCAAGATCAGCTTATATTAATTATAGGGATCTTGATATTGGAATTAACAATATTAGAAATACAAGTTATAAGTAAGCAAGTATTTGGGGAATTAAGTATTTCAAGATTAATTTTGATAGGTTGGTTCATGTCAAGACTCAAGTTGATCCTGCAAATTTCTTCAGAAATGAACAAAGCATCCCTTCTCTCTCCTCTTGGTGATCATAGAGATTGATTGAACAATATAATAATGAATTGATTGAACAATATAATAATGATGTTTGACGTCTATGTATTGAACAATATAATAATGAAAATAAAAAAATAAAATAGGTGCATGTAGAATATGTATTTTGTACAATAAAAGTTTGCTGTGACCATCAATGGATATTAAATTTTTATTTTTATAATAAAATTTGATTGGTTTGATCAATATTTTTTTTTTTCCTTTAATAGTGTTTATTTTCATTCTCTTTTCAACGGAAGGTTTGAGTGTTGAACTCCATTTTCAATTACTTGTAGAGAATGAACCAATTGTTTTTATTATTTCATTGAACTCCATTTTCAATTACTTGTAGAGAATGAACCAATTGTTTTTATTATTTCATTAATTATTACTAAAAAATTATCTCGTATACATAGCCAATAGTTGATTCTCATTTTAAACAATTATTACTGTGTATTATTATTTTGTCTAATTCTTTTAGTAAAACAATTTCAACTTGTTCCTTTCTCTTCAAAATAAAAAGAACAAAGAAAAGCCAATTTCAACTTGAAACTTTTTTTCTTATATAATCCAATTTTTTGTACAAATTGCTTTTTTTTCAATTTGCTTTTTCGTTATGTGATCCAATTTTTTCGACCAGAGCTCATAGTTTTTGTACAAATAATTTCTAAAATAATATCATTTCTCTCTCTTATGTACACCATCATTGGTATGGTACCATCCATCTAAAAGCTAATTAATGAGTTTAGTTAACCCAAGGGTCTGACAAGGGTCCCATTACATTAATTTTTTATTCACAACCTTAATACTGTTATTGATCTGGAGTGCTAATATATCTAAATTTCAAAATGAAGGTGTCTATGGTATTAATTTAAAGTGATTCTGAAACAAGTCCGATAATTTAGATATTTTTATAGTTTAGGCCCACAAATAATCTAGTGATTTGCATTTAAGACCTTTATTGTATTAATAATATGGATCAAAGATTATTTTTGCATAGAGTATGGATATGATTAGAAGATTTCATTCCTAATCCTCCATTAATTTGCGATGGATTGTCAATCAATCCATATTATTTAGTTATAATTGTTTATTATTTTCTTATTGACTTAACCATGTAAAACATAAGAACACTAAAAGCTATTATTGTTAATATGGAATTTCTGCTGCATTTTGTCAAACTCTTTTCCTCTCTCATGAAAAGTAGATTGAGGTTGAATCTTTAACCTAGGCCACATGCTTTTGGCTTTTCTGCTTTTTGTCATGTTTTCTTATGGTTCTTGTAAGATGGAGGTTTTTTTTTTTTTTTTTTTTTTTTTCTTGTAAGATGGAGGTTTTTTTTTTTTTTTTTTTTTTTTTTTTTTTTTTTTTTTTTTTTTTTCTACATTCCAGATTTAGGTTCAATGGGTGTAAGGGGGAAAACCTGATGGTTTGGGTGTAATTGCTGGCGTTGTGGATTTTTTCCCTATCTTTTCTCTTAAATTTCACTAATAAAATCTTATTTTTCTTTGTTTGGGTTTTGGCAATTTTGAAGTTTTTGGGGTTTTAGCTCAAAACTCATTTTGGGTCCATATGTTTAGGTTGGACAGCCCATTTGGGCTTATTTTGGATCACTAGAATTTGAAGAGACAAGAAGATAGAAGATGAAGAGTTAAGGGAGTTATGGCTTTAATTATTGTTCTAATCCCTACTGTATATAAAGGGATTAGCATTCTTTGTTTTGGGAGATTGACTTTTGGATGATTTCATATTAATGAAAGTGAGGTTTATGCCTTCTTTTATCTTTATGCATAAGGTGTTGTTTAGATTGTAGTTGATTTATTCAATTGCTATTCAGATTCAATTCCTATTTAGGAATGAATTTCTCTAAATTATACAAACTAAAACGAAGAGTTAAGCAAATTTATGTAAGATGAGCTAATTAAACCAAATCTGAGTTTTTTGGATTCAAATTATTGGCCATGTATACGGGATAATTTTTTAGTAATAATTAATTAAATAATAAAAAGAATTGGTTCATTCTCTACAAGTTATTGAAAATGGAGTTCAACACTCAAACCTTCCTTTGAAAAGAGAATGAAAATAAAAACTATTTGAAAATAAAAACTATTAAAGGAAAAAAAAATAATATTGATCAAACCTATCAAATTTTATTATGAAAATAAAAATTGAATATACATTGATGGTCACAGCAAACTTTTATTGTACAAAATACATATTCTACATGCAGCTATTTTATTTTTTTTATTTTGACCATCAAATTTTATTACACTATACATGAAACTGAAATCTAAAACCGCACAATTAAAGAATTACAAAATAAATACAAAAGATAAATGAATGGATATTTCCAATACATAGAAGACAAACATCATTATTATATTGTTCAATCAATCTCTATGACCACCAATAGGGGAGAGAAGGGATGCTTTGTTCATTTCTGAAGAAATTTGCAGGATCAACTTGAGTCTTGACATGAACCAATCTATCAAAATTAATCTTGAAGTACTTAATTCCCCAAATACTTGCTTGCTCATAACTTGTATTTCCAATATTGTTACTTAATTCCCCAAATACTTGCTTGCTCATAACTTGTATTTCCAATATTGTTAATTCCAATATCAAGATCCCTATAATTAATATAAGCTGATCTTGGATTTTTAGAAACATATGGAGCCAAGAAACTATAAAGCCTTCTTATCCAACTTATATGCGTTATTGATTCTTCAATTCCTTCATCATTCCAATACACTGAATGTTGAATTTTATATAAATTCCCTGCTCTATGTGGAAATGGAATGCTAGATTCTGATATTTCACTCATTCTACCTCCGTAAGGATTGAACATCAATTGGCCTGAACCCACTTCCACTTCGAAAAGCCTTTTCCATATTCCTTCTAGAGCAACTTCAGGCATTGGTTGTTGAACATAATCAGATTTTGCTTTGAAATATCTTAGGCATTGGTTGTTGAACATAATCAGATTTTGCTTTGAAATATCTTACGTTCTGTTGAGTTCTTTCAAGCAAAATCTCTAAAGATGAGTTTGAGAATCCGGCAAAATAAAGAACAGATTCGATCCAACTCATTTCAGTACTGTCTTCCTTAGTTAACCCTAGTTCAGGAAAGCTTTCTTGCATTAATGTAAGCAGCCTGTCAACTCTTCCAAGAAACAAAGACTTAAATGCAGCTCTTATTGTTGTAGTATTTCCACTTGAATTAACTCTTTCAATAATAACCCTAATGAATAAATCTTCATTAAACTTATGAGCAACATATTGCCATTTATGCACAATCTCAGTCGCGTTTTGTTCCAGAGACAATCTCAGTCGCGTTTTGTTCCAGAGTTCTTTCTACTGTAAATACAGTTACAATTGAAGGAACTTCAACTAAATTTATTTTCCAAGCAACAACCACTCCAAAAGTATTTCCACCGCCACCGCGAATAGCCCAAAAAAGATCTTCACCCATTGAAGCTCTATCAAGAATTCTTCCATTAACATCAATAAGTTGTGCATCAATAATATTATCTGCCGCGAGCCCATATTTTCTTAGTAACGTGCCATATCCTCCTCCACTAAAGTGGCCGCCGATCCCTACAGTAGTGCAGACACTGGCCGGAAAAGCAAGATTTTGACTTTTCTCTGCAATACTATAATAAAGTTTGCCTGTTGTTGCACCAACTTGAACCCATGCAGTTTTGTTGGTTGCATCAACGGTGATTGATTGAAGGTTAATTAGATCAAGAATGACAAATGGGATTGGAGAAACGTAGGAAAGACCTTCATAATCATGGCCACCGCTTCTGGAACCCATGCAGTTTTGTTGGTTGCATCAACGGTGATTGATTGAAGGTTAATTAGATCAAGAATGACAAATGGGATTGGAGAAACGTAGGAAAGACCTTCATAATCATGGCCACCGCTTCTGATTCTAATTTGCAGGTCATGTTTTTTAGAACACGTAATGGTAGCTTCAATATGGGAAAGGTTCAATGGGGTGACGATCACTTGAGGTTTCGGTGTGGTGCTTGTGTTGAATCTTTCGTTGTTTATGCCCAGCTGTAAGACTGATAAATAAGAAGAGTTTATTGGAGTATAAATTACTTTGGAGATAGAGCTGGAGTCTTCAGATTGTAGCTTTAGGCATTCAAGAAAATCTTCATGGGTATGAGCTGAAGTTGTTACCCAAGAAAATGAGAAGAGAAACACAGCAAAAAGAAATGGCAACAATTTTGAAGAAATCATATTTTATGGTAAAGGTTGTAGCTTTTGTGATTTGGATGTGATTTTGTTTAAGAATGTCTGTACCTTATTTATAGGGGAGAGAATAGGTTTCTTGAAATGAAATTAAATGGGGAAGTAGAAAGTTCAGGTTGTTTGGTGAAAATCGATGTTTGACCATTTATATTTCTTCTACTGCTACATTTAATTTGAAAAAAATAGTTTTTGTTGTTTATAACACGTCAAGAGTTAATTTATTCCAAAAACTATTATATTAATCTAGTGATAACTTTATGTTTTAAAGTTGAGTTAAATTTAGTTAATTCAATTTCTTAATATTTTAAAAAATTTCTAAAATAAAATTTACATAAGGAATAGAGTATAATTTTATAATAACAAGTTTATTGTATTAATACGTTGAATCCATCTCAATCGGTGCTCCCTGGGTTTATCCATCCATTAAATTATATTTAAGGATAAATGATAAATTTTGAACTTCAATTTTTTATCAATTTGATTTATAAACGAAATATGTTAGCAATTGGGTGGTTGAACTTTGAAAAAATAACAATTAGGTGTCTGCTTACAATTTGGCAGTCGGAATTCTCATTCAGCATGAGATGGAGTTCACAAATGTCCAGCCAGCATCCTATGTGGATATACATCACATTGCTGACTGAGATTAACACATTATCTGATGTGGCAAACAGTGGCGGAACCAGAAAAAATAATTAGAGGGTGCGATATCAGAAAAAATCACTATTTTATAAGTAAAAAGTAAAATTTTATATATTTTATAAGGTAAATTTCAAAAAAAATTAAAATTAGAGGGGCGGCCGCCTGATGGCAAATAGCTAGAAATTACTCATTATCCGCTACCTATCATATTAAATAGGTTTGATAATGAATACCACAATGTATGAATAGTAAAATTATAAGCAAGTCCGGTACCGAATATAAATATTTTTTTTAGTATTCTAGAGAGAATTCAAATTTAAATATATTATTAAGTCATATATATATTTATCATTAAGTTATGTCTTAATCTACGTTCATATACCAATACTTCAACATGTATTTAAATAGATTTAATTAGAACGGATAATGAATTGTAAACAAAATTCTAAACAGACTGAACTACAGATAGTTCAAATTTCATGGAGCCCGTCCCTACTCATACCATATCATGTAGCCATTCAGCATTGTTTCTTCCACTAGACAATTTTAATCTATAGCCTTTTGGGATCAATTAATGAATCTCTTTGTCTTTTTCAGCTGTGTTCGGAAACAACATTTTAAGTAATTTTTAGTATTTTGATTTTTCACAGTATTCGGTAACATAACATTTAAACTAAATTTTAGAGGTTAAGATAGCGTTTTATAAAAAGATTAAGACTCTGATGGGCAATTTTAGTAGTTCTAGTAGAAATTTAACTGTTGTAATAGTTGTCAACGATTTTACTAGTTACTAGAGGTTAGATATTAGTTGTTAATAGTTAGTTGTTTATATAATGGTTTGAAATAAAAGTGTTCGATAAAAATAAGTCTTTAATTAGCTGTTTAATATAGAATGGCAAAAAAAAGTAAGATCACATAAAACAAGGCAAGACAAGTGATGGGGATATGTGTCATAAAAAATTTAGGAAACGCTAAACATTAATGAGGATAACATTTCATGAAATACTGCCTCAAACTCTAAATGTTAAGATAAATGTGATATTATCAAACATATGATAATTAATTAAAACATTGTTAGCAAGACAAGTGATGGGGATATGTGTCATAAAAAATTTAGGAAACGCTAAACATTAATGAGGATAACATTTCATGAAATAGGATAACATTTCATGAAATACTGCCTCAAACTCTAAATGTTAAGATAAATGTGATATTATCAAACATATGATAATTAATTAAAACATTGTTAGCAAGACAAGTGATGGGGATATGTGTCATAAAAAATTTAGGAAACGCTAAACATTAATGAGGATAACATTTCATGAAACACTTCTTCAAACTCTAAACGTTAGGATAAATGTGATATTATCGAACATATGATAATTAATTGAAACAGTATTTTAACCTAGTTAAAATACTTAACACTACTCAAAACGCTCTAGCCGAATAGAGCCTAATTCCAGTAACATTTAGTTTTTAGCGTTTTATAAAAAGCTACTGGCTACTAGCTACTCAAACAGTTAAACGTTACTAAATATGTGTTTGGTAAGTTTTTTAATAACCGAACTTATAGGTGATAGAAGTTTCAATCATCTATTGTTTCTATAAACTACATTTAGGAACTTTTTCGTATCAGTTGGTAGCTGATTCATATTTATATTATTTTGGACTTTATTAACCTCATAAAAAACAATTATTAATAAAACTATTTTTTTTCAAAATAATATTTTTATGATAATTTTATTTATAATATTTTAAATATCTTTTCGTTACAATATTTATTTTTTAAGAATATAATTTATATTTTTGACTTTATGTAATACATTAAATAATAAGTATATTCACCTTATTATATACATTATACTTATTAATAATATTAAAAATAATTAAGCCTTACATATGAAACCGACCCGAAAATTATTTTCAAAAAATTGGCATTTAAAATATTTTAAATATTATTTCTAACAATCATAATAAAATAATTATTATATTTAAAATAATAAAAATTAATGTGCTGTGAATTTTTTAACAAAAAATCGAATAAACAAATACTTTTATTGCTAAATTCAAATACTTTTATTGCTAAATCAAACCTAAAAAACCTATTAGAAAACTCATTACGATACAACGCTTCGTCTTTATTTGTTTATTTATTTATTTATTTATTTTTAAGTATCAATTTATTTTATTATTAGTGTTTAATACTCTTATATTTTTTATATTTTTATATGAAAGTCTATTTGTGCACTTCCATGATAATGTTTAATTATTTAATATGCTTGCATTTAAGTGCATTGTTTGACTATTTGTGTTGTGACATTGATTTGCCTTGTTTGCGTGGAATTGGAATAAAGTGGGTCACTATGGGATTTGTGAGGGCGGTCTTCAATACCGTCAGCCATGTATGGGGAGATCGGCGCATCCGTGTGCATCTAATGATATGGATTATATGGAAAACCACAGGGTGGCCTCCTGTTGGTAATGGAAAAAAAACTCCTGTTGGTAATGGAAAAAAAAAAAAAAGAGAGAAGATGAAAAAAAAATGAGAAGGCTAGTCAAGTGAGGATTAGACCAGTCGACCATGTATGGGAGATCGGCTCCCTGGCGCACACGTTTAAGAGGGCGGGCCATGTGTTAGGGTGGCTCGTCGAGGGTTCCGGTGATGGCATTGACCAATTTCCACTTGTTTGATTATTTGAAGGTGTAAATACTTGTGGGTGCTGATATTATGCCATATGCTTGACTGGTTGTATATTCATTTTAGTATTTTAGGAAGCATTTCATGTGAATGTCTGTGTTGCGCATTGATTATTATTCATTGTAAAACTCACTCTTCTTTTATTTAATTTTTTCAGAAAGTAGGTTCTTTATTGTCCCGACTAAAACTCTGTTTTCTTCACCACAGAGGTAGAAAAATAACCTTTAATGTCATAAGTCATTTAAATTATGTAGCTATATGTCCAAAAACTTATCTATATATATATTTATTAGTGAACTCTGCCGTTGTAGGATTAACATAATTCTTTTTATGTATGAGCATGAATATGCTAACTAATAGACTTGTGTGGATGTTTTTAGTATTATACAAGTGCTCGTATGAACCAGTTAGCCCATATTATAGAAATTATGTGTTATAAATAGGCTCGAGTTATGGAATATTTGGAATATTGGAATTAGGCAAGGATATGATTTGAATATGATATTGTTATGTACAGTAATATGGGCTTATTGCTCCTGAGATCCATTTTGATATGGTTAATGGTTCAGGCTTACTACGGGCTTCGGGAGCCTTACGCTTACCTGGGTCTTAATGCCGGTCCGACCATGGTTTTGGATCGTGACATTAATAGTCACTTTATATTTTAATAACAACTGCCATTAAAAATTACCAAGCACGAATAATAATCAGCTAACCGCTATTAGCCACCACCTATCAGCTATATGCTAATTTGAACCGTAGAACCAAATTGGTTCTAAAACAATTAACAGCTACCAAAACATCTAATTTTACCGAATAAACTCTTATTCTTTTATGGTATAATATTATTTGTCTGGTTAAAATATGAAAATAAATCGCATGATAGATCACCAACAAGTCATAGGCCTAAACCTTTCAAATACATTCAATTTTGTGGGTTGGTGAAATTCACATACTTGTGATATTTGTGTCAATTTTTAATTTTTTTTTTTTTTTTTTTTTTTTTTTTTTTTTTTTTTTTTTTTTTTTTTTTTTTTTTTTTTTTTGCTGTAGTAGCACCAGAATTCAACATTTAGGTTTGAATTAACAATTAAGTCAAGCTATCTAGAAACCAAAACTTTTATAGGGGCATTTTTGGATGACAGACACAATATTAGCCCAATATTCAACTATGCATATGAATTCATAAGTGAGCTATGTTCAACAATGACTAAGTGAAGTTTAGTATTTTAATTATGGTTAAAATACTATCTCGTTTATTTATAATGTTTAGTAGTGTAACAAAAATTATACTGTTAGAGATTGAAAGAATGGATAAAAAAATATGAAGAATTTGTTCGACAAAATTAATCGTTTTAGTAGCTTGTAATTGTCTTAATAGTTATCGGCTGTTTAACTAGTATTTCATTAAATCTTAAAGAAAAAACGTTTTGTAATCTGCTCTCTCAAACTCTGAACACTAATATAAGCGTTATGGTATCAGACACTATAAATGGTAAATATAATATTTTGACTTAAAAACTACATGAAAAGTTGTTGCAAAATAAAACCTGAATTCTCTGATTACGTTGTACAGCTAACCAATCACTTAAACCAAGGCATCAAATGAAGACCACAACGACGCAGGAAGTACAACTTCCCCCATTCATCGTATATATACCTATCTAGGAGCCAAGTATTTCCAAAGAATATGG